CTCCTGATATAGTGACGCTCTGTTTGTGGGGACTGTGATCGATTCTCCTGATATAGTGACGCTCTGTTTGTGGTGACTGTGATCGATACTCCTGATATAGTGACGCTCTGTTTGTGGGGACTGTGCTCGATGCTCCTGATATAGTGATGTTCCTCCTTAACTATAACACCCCGTGTTGGAATCGGTCTTCTGTCTATTATCATCAATTGAAATAATAATGCCATTACCGAAATTAATTATTCCACCGTATTTTTCTGTGTGATGGAAATCTACGTAATGTATTATACAATGTAATCACCGTATGTTATGTAATTGGTAGTATATCGAGCTCATATATTTATTATTCATACATTTGTAAATAGACCATCAGCTTTCCTCAGGGAATCTTACATATGTTAGTATGGTTTCCATTCTAGTCAAAAGCATCATGTTATCATATCGTTCAACTGTTATTGTTGTATTATACAATTTGCTATATATAAACCGATGTTACCTCATGCTAATTGCGGCATTATCATCCACAACAGACAGTGGGATTAGCCCCCTTTCCTTAAACTTACATTTGAGTCACGATGTCCTTCCTGTTACATACTGTTTGTCCTTGGATGCGTTTAAAAATCAAAGCATTCCAATAAATCAATGATTTTTTTCTGGAAAAAAGGCAACGACAAATCCATATTTTACATTTTTGATGTTTATAGTATTGTAAGAAAATGTAACAGCCACGAATATATATATATATAAAAGAAAAGAAACATTGTTATTCATCTCAAAATATCTAAAGAAAATTTCAATAATAAAGATATGTATTCTTTTGTTTTGAAACTGTATGGATATACAAGTATGTGATTGTCGAAAACAAAAACACACAGGACATAGCCGGATGAGTTGTCTCCCTTCAAAATGTCGGATTTTTTACTGAGGGATACCATTTTCACAATTATAATTGTCTTCCCTCAAATAAATAAAGAAAAAAAATGAATGAATTCAATAACAATTATTATATCAAAATATTCCGTCGACTGAACTCTGCATTTGAGGAGAACGGGATTAAAGTTAAGTGTCGTCTGCTTCACTGCCGTTATTTGGAATGTAAATCTATGTCAAATCCTAGTAATGTCACGTCCTCACATCTGACACTCGGACAGAGACAACAAAACCACAAGGCACACAAATGCGCACTAACACTACGTAATTAAAATGCCCTATACCCAACGAAAATGACGACACGAAAGTACGATAAGACAAATCTTATATATTACGTAGAGTAGAAATCGCCGTTTATGTTACAGGGTACATACATATCGAGGTTACGCAAGCTTTGTGTTTGTGTTTCCAATATCCGGTAATATTGTGAAACAGTTATGATGACGATATTTATTGTATAAAAGTAGCAATAATAATTATAATTTTGGCGTTAATATATATATTTATCCGCGAACATCAGTGATATGTTAAATTTCGTTTAGTATAGTTAGATTTCACCTGTGGTTATCTGAGTCCAAGCTGCTGATACAGCTTGTCTCATGTATACTGTAATCACAATGACGTGGATTTCAAAGCAACGCTCAAAATACTATACATAAAGAAATATACTGATTTTGTAACTTTTCCGAATGATATGAAGCCACATGCTACATTTAATGTAATGCAGTCGAACCTCGTTATCTCGAAGTCGACGGGATCGTTGTGAAACTTCGAGTTATCCGAGTATTCGAGTTAAGCGAGTTCCTATGTTTGGCATAAAGCTTTGGTCCAATATAAGGCTATATATGTCATTGATTTCTCTGACAATCAACGTATTTAAACATTCGATAAATGACAAAAAGATAACTATAAAATAAAAAATAACAACTTATTCATAATCATATTCATTAACTAATTAATTGTACTTGATAAGTATTTCTCATTGCTACATGTATATGGATAATTTATTATACAGTATACAAATTATTTACATTATTTACATAGAGTGTTAATTTATATACCTTTAATGAAATGTGTTTTACAGCAGTAAAATATGTTTTACCATATGATTCCCTGTAATGGTTACTCTTTATGTTTTGTGAGGCCATGGTTGCCTGTACTTGTGTACATTTTTGTGTTACTATATTTACATATACTCTGTTGTAGTTATGTTTTGTTTTGTTTCCATGGTTACCGGTACTTGTTGTATTTATGAACTTGTTGGTTGTATGCTATTCTATGTTCGCTATGAGTCTGGAAATAAAGTATACTTTAGATGCAGTTTTCCATGTGTTCCGCTTGTGTATATATATTCTTCATACTCCTAGATTAATAGAGTCGTCCCTGTTACAGGGGAAGAAATCAATTTTTATCCAAGACATGTATGATCGTATTGGGGAATTTAAGCTCATGTATCGATCAATGATAGCTCGTCAGCAAACTATTAAAATCTCAAGAGTTGCACGTTTTAGTCTTTTCTGATGATTTTTTATCTTACAATACTGGATTTTTGCGGAGGTAGTTGATAGGCAGTAATGCATAGATTATGTGTATGAAACGCGTACAAAACTTTATTTAGTATGTCAAATTATAGCCCGAAAAATGACTTATTGTTATAGGGCGGAGATATTCTGAATGTCTTTCATAGGTTGTCATTGATACGCACTTCAATTAATGTTTTTTTGTATACAAAATGTGTCGACATGCCAACATACTTTCCATAAACGGATTGAAAGTTTTTTGTTATATCGCTTTAAAAACACACTTTATTTTAAAAAAAAATAGCATAATTAGGGATATCAAACAATTTCGATGCATAAACGAGAATGGTGAAAGAATTGAAGGGAGCAATATTATTGTACGATTTAGCTTTCGATTCTGTTGAACGGAAATTTGCTCATCAAACTTAGGCATCAACTAGAAAAGGAAAGAAGAGATTGAGTAAAAAGATAACTTGTTCATAGCAAGAATCCGAAAGAGATTTTTTTAAATACAATTAGGAGAACACACAGTTAAATGACTACTTTAACCGCAATCGTGTAATGCTTACCAACAAGTACAACATAAGAATTTGCGAGGACAGTTTATTTAAGTAATGAAATTAACTTTTTCAACATAATTGTATACCTTACAGTTTTTCATTTCAGAATATTTATTGTTCAGATCTTAGATACAAAGGAATTGGGCAACAGGCAAAGCCTATGAGCGCCCTCTCCCTACAGTTATAAACAGTTTACACACATCATAATGAATTTAAGTTATGATAAAACATGTATATTATGTACATGAATACTGATATTTGCATGTCATTATTTTATTTTTTTGGTCATGGTTGTACAAAAACTAGATGTTACAAAAAATGGCAATTGAAATTATGCTGGTGGACAGCACATAGTACAATTATGTACTGGTATCATTCCATACAGCAAAGTCATGTGAAAAAAAGTAAACAAGTAAGTGTAATCTAGTTTAAGCGTCTTGTATCTTTTACGAATCTCTGAACCATCTCCAAGATACTTATATTCATATTGATTTCGAGTCTTCGACATCCATAAAGAAAAGTCTGAGTATTTAATGGAATAATGTCATTAAGAGCAGAAATGGAGTTCAGAAGAATTTGCCTTTGATTAGTATACAGAGTACACTGGAAGAAGAAGTGCTTTGAATTTTCCGATGCAAGCATAGATACAAAAAGATTAAATGTAGTTGTTGTTCTCTATTTATAAATGGGGGCAACGCAGCAGAGATTACAGTGGCTTTTCGCGGAAAATGTAAAACTTGTGATAGGGGTCCTAGCAGCAGCATGACAGTAAGACAAACAAATTTTAGTTCCTTTTTTTAAACTTTAATTTGTAGAACTTAATATGTTGATGACGGGAACTGGAATGTCATGTTTGATAACGGGTACTGGAACGTCATGTTTGATGACTGGAATACTGGAATGCTATATTTAATGACGGGAACTAGATTGTCATGTTTGATGACGGGTACTGGAATGTCAAGATTGATGACGGGTACCGGAACGTCATGTTTGATGACGTGTACTGGAACGTCATGTTTGATGACGGGTACTGGAACGTCATGTTTGATGACGGGAATACTGGAATGCTATATTAAATGACGGGAACTAGATTGTTATGTTTGATGACCGGTACTGGAATGCCATGTTTGATGACGGGTACCGGAACGTTATGTTTGATGACGTGTACTGGAACGTCATGTATGATTACGGGTACTGGATTGTCATGTTTGATGATGAGAATACTGGAATACTATGTTTGATGACGGGAACTAGATTGCCATGTTTGATAACGGGTACTGGAATGTAATGTTTGATGACGGGTATTGAAATGTCATGTTTGATGACGTGTACTGGAACGTTATGTATAATGACGTGTACGGGATTGTCATGTTTGATGACGGATACCGGAACGTCATGTTTGATGACGGGTATTCGAATGTCATGTTTGATAACGGGTACTGGAATGCAATGTTTGATGACGGGTATTGAAATGTCATGTTTGATGACGTGTACTGGAACGTTAGGTATGATGACGTACTGGAACGTTATGTATAATGACGTGTACTGGAACGTTATGTCTAATGACGTGTACTGGATTGTCATGTTTGATGACGGGGATACGGGAATACTTTGTTTGATGACGGACACTGAACGTCATGTATATACCATGTTTGATAGCGGGTATTTTAACGTATGGTTAATAACGGATATATATAAGATTGTCATGTTTGAAAAAGAGATTCCGACACACGTTCAATGCTGTCTTATTCTTTAAGCAAATCGTACAGAAAAAAACGGATATTTTTATTTTTTAAATGTTAACAATCGACTAGTTTCAACATACTGTATGAATAATTTGCTCAATATGTTGAGTCGCTGCTGAACTAAATGACCTCTATTACAGCCGAAGTGTAGTTAAGTTATTGCTACAAATGTTGCAATTGATGCATTGAGACAAAATATATTCAGTTTTGGGTCCAATCCGAAGGACTTTCGTAACGATCACGAGAAATACAAGCCAACTTTGTTCAAGGTCACTGTGTTAACAAATGCAGAATACTGACAGAAAACATTGAATATTCAAGTAAATAACAGGGAAAAATCACTTGGCTCAATGTTTGGGAATGAAAGACTCGATCACAGGAAACACAAAGACAAAGTCGCATAGCCTAGACTACACTAATAAAAGGTGTGCTCAAGCTTTACCCTTTTCCACCTTAAAATAAAAGGTTTTTGTTTATATTTCGGTAATCTCCTGAAGCCAATATAGCAAGCCTCGAACCAAGAACTTGTCCAATGCTGTAGTTACATTTCAATAAGAATATATTATTAGTTTTTTATAGACTGTGTTGTCAGTTGTCCTAGATTGTCATTCCTCTTTGTCGTTAGTTGTCTATGTCTTTTCACTACTATCGTCATCGTCATTTGCTTAAGATGTACAGTTGTGTGACCGCACAACGCACCAAAAATAGCGTGCGCACACCGTGCATACATCGTTCACACACCGTTCGCACATCGTCCACACATGGTGCGCACAACTGTGCGATTTAACAATCGTTCGCCCCTTTGTGTGCTTTTCTTACAATTTGTTGATCAATATTACGAAATGAAATAAATACGGAAGGCTCGTATGCAATAATGTGCATGTACACTGTATATATTACTGTGAATTCTCATCACGATAATTAAGATCATGTACAAGTTAACAACGCGTGTTACACAGTATTACAGTGACCGTTAGACTGTCAAGAATGGGTTTGGCTCCTAGGTAACAGAACAGGTAAATAACGTTTTGATGAGTAACCGGAGTTTTACCTGGCCTGTGTGCCTGACACATATAGCTGATGTGTGATAACGTATGACCGTTGTGAAAACACAACTGGACAATTAGTATTTGTTATGTGCATTCAGTTTGGCTTATAGATCCCCTTCACATAAAGTTTCACACCCCGATGAGTTACGTAAGTGCCTCGGGCGGGGACAAGTACGGTCCGGTCATGGTATGTTTACCTGTATGCGGGAACTGTGTTTTAATTTTACATGTCGATTAAGGTCGTTCAAAAAACACCGAAACACCATTTCGAAATTCAGGAAAGTATAGACAGAAAATTTAAAGATAAGCTAATAGATGCAGCTAGTATATAGAAACATATTTAAAAATCAAGTTTATATGTTTAAAAATGAAACGTTTATAATGTTAAGGTATTCCTCAATTTACACCAACCACGATTGTTATCGCACAACGTTCGTCCATCGTCCGCACAAATGTGCGCAAGCAACGATCGTCCAATTTTTCATCGTTCGGACATCGTGCACACATCGTTCACACACCGTGCCCACGCCGTGCGCACCCTCCGAACATCGTGTAACGTTATGCGATCCCACAACTGTATGTCCACTTTTGTCGTCGTTTCCTGTATTTGTTCGTTGGATTTTGTTGTCAGCTGTTTCTGTTCTTTTGTTTTCCTCTTCGTCGTCATCAATTGTCTTACTTGTTTGTACGTCTGTATTTTTGGTTGAAGTCGTCCATTTTTTGTTTCCGCTTCATGTAGAAAATTTTGCTTTACTATTTTATTCTTAGGAATTCTCACCATCATTTACCTCCGAAGAAATATCACTGCTGTTTTCACTACTGCTGTGACTATTTCCTTGTGTGTTCGTCCTAGAAACCGAAGCTATCCTCCTTTTATGTCCTGAAAAAAAAAGAAAATACGCTTAATCGTAATATCA